AATAATTTTAAACTCTGAAGTTTCGTTTAGACCAGATTTATTTGCTCCTTTCATCAGAATTAATATGAGGTCCTTCTTTTATTCTCCTTCAGCATTCTGATGGGTTCATTCAACCTGACAACTGTGCTTTCCTTCACCAAATTCATTCTAAGTTTAAATCTCAAATAAATTCATGTGAAGAAAGCTAATGATTGATGAAATTAAGTAATTTGGAATTCATTATTAAGCAAAAATGAAAGTTTATCAAAGTAAAATATTTCAGAAGACAAATACTGTATTTTTGTAGTAATTTCTAGTCATACCAGATTAATGGGAAGAGAACCTGGAGAAAAAAATCTTTGAGGGTAACAGGCTATGAAAATGAGAGAAGCCCGGCATAGCAGTGTACCCCTGTGATTCCAGGAACTGAGGTGGGGGCAACTGAGGCAGGAGGATTGAAAGCTAGGGATGAGTCTCAGCAATTTAGTGAGACTCTGTCTCAAAATAAAAAAGACTGTAGTTTTGCGGTTGTTATGGTTTGGAAGTAAGGTGTCCCCCAAAAGCTGACGTGTGAGACAATGTAAGAGGATTCAGTGGGGAAATGATTGGGTTGAGAATACCTTAACCCAATCAGTAAATTAATCCCCGGATGGGATCAATTGAGTGGTAACTGAATAGGTAGGGTGGCTAGAGGAGGTGGGGCACTGGGGTGTGGCTTTGGGATATAAATTTGTATTTGTCAAATGGAGTCTCTCTCTGCTTCCTGCTCATCATGTGACCGCTTCTCTATGCCATACTCTTTGCCATGATGTTCTGCCTCACCTTGAGCCCCAAGGAATGGAGCCAGCTTTCTATGAACTAAGACCTCTGAAGCTGTGAGCCCCAAATAAACTTTTCCTCATCTAAAATTATTCTGGTTGGGTCCTTTTAATCACAGCAGCAAAAAAGCTGACTAAACCAGTAGTAAAATGTCCTGAGTTTAATCCCTGGTGGAAGGAAGGAAGAGGAAGGAAGGAAGGAAGGAAGGAAGGAAGGGAGGAAGGGAGGGAGGGAGGGAGGAAACAAGAGAGGAGACAGTTTTGTCTATGAGCAGAATTTCAGGCATTGCTCATCTGCGTTCACAAGGCCGACTGCCCCTTGGGTCACTGAAACATCTGCAGCTCTGGTTGTTGCCTACAGGTAACTCACCAATAAACTTTGAGGCTCTTGCCTAATTTCAGTGGGTCTTTAAAAATTATTAAACAAATAGTATGATTATTAAAGATTCATTGGGGAAAAATGTAACATTGGATAGCAATTGATGCCATCCTTCTCGATGTGTCCCCAATAAATGCTTCATTTGTTTCCTTGTTACCAAAATCCACATAGCAGTTTTGAGTTACAAGCATTATAATGTCTGGTGTCAAGGAAGGCAGTAAGGAGAGTATGGAAGAGTTCAATAAAAATTCCAGGATTCCGCCAGGCATGGTGGTACACACCTGTAATCCCAGCAACTCGGGAGGTTGAGAAAGGAGAATTCGAGTACAAAAAGCCAGCCTCAGCAATGGTGAGGTGCTAAGCAACTCAGTGAGAACCTGTCTCTAAATAAAATATAAAATACGGCTCAGGATGTGGCTGAGTGCCCCTGAGTTCAATCCCCAGTATCTCCTCCTGCCACATACACACACACACAAAAAAAAAATCCAGGACTCTAGCACACCCTGTCCTCCCCAATGCACCTTAAACATATGAGAACCTGTTATACTAAGTGGCTCTGACATCTAAGCATCCTTTGGATGAAAGCTAAGGTAGAAATTTAGAACAAGCAGGCTCTCCGTGGGCCTGGAAAATCAGGAAATATTCAACATACCCTTCCTTTCATTACCACTCACTCTCATGATAGGTGATTTGGCCCCAGTACCTACCAGAATGAAAAGGGTTAGCAGCTAGAGCTAGACGGCACTTAGGTCTATCCTGTTTATGTGCGGATATAAAGAATGAAATGGAACCAAGAAGCCAAGCACCTTCTGGCTCCATCACTTCCCAAGCACAGATGATCCAAGAAGTGTTCAGTGATGTCTTATAGGCCCAGAGCAAGTAGCTTAGTGGGTAAGAACACGGGCTTTGGTGCCAAACAGACCAGATATGCGTCCTGGTTCAAAATGGACAAATAACTTATTCTTTTAAAGCCTTGATTTCTTACAACTTTTTTAAAAGATGATAATCTACTAAATCTTTTTTTTAATAGTTTTTAGTTGTTGATATACCTTACCTTTATTTTTAATTTATTTATATGTGGTGCTGAGGATAAAACCCAGTGCCTCACACATGCTAGGCAAGTGCTCTGCCACTGAGCCATAATCCCAGCCCCTTTTACTAAATTTTTATTTATTTATTTTTTTGTGGTGCTGGGGATTAAACCCATGGCCTTGTGCATGCGAGGCAAGCACTCTACCAACTGAGCTATATCTCCAGCCAAAAAGATGATAGTCATACTATCTCCTGAGATCCTTATGAAATGGAGTGAAGTGAGGCAAATAAAATGCTTAGCACTGTCTCTGAAAAGTAACCACTCAAATACTCACAATTATTTTGGTTGATCATTAAAAAAGCAAAATATAAGGCTCAAAGTAATGAAAGCCACACTAAGAACTAGGTGTATGCACACTAGGTTAGGTGATGAGCAGGAGCAAGAAAAAAGGCAGTAATTGCAACTTCTGCCCAATATATTTTTAAATGTCCCTAAGCATGGAAACACTGTGAGCCATTATTTCTTTGGGTTAAACAATAGCTCATGAGATAGGTACTCATAAAACCCACTGTTTACGTCCTCTCACAGCCTATAAAATATAAAGTATTTTATATTTTATTTAGAGACAGGTTCTCACTGAGTTGCTTAGCACCTCACCATTGCTGAGGCTGGCTTTTTGTACTCAAATTCTCCTTTCTCAACCTCCCGAGCTGCTGGGAAGAAATCTACAAAAGCCTAGGGAGGCGGTGGGAGGGAGAAGAAAACACATTACATCAATCTGCCTCATCTACTAACGATATAATAAACTCAAAGGTCGATATAAAAATTAACTCAAAATGGGTCAAAGACCTAACATAAGCTAAAACTATAAAACTGTTAGAAGAAAATAGGGGAAAAGCTTCATGACATTGGATTTAATGGATATTTCTTGGATATGATGCCAAAGACACCAGGAATAAAAGAAAAAGTAGATAACCAGCACTATACAAAAATTGAAAAAACACTATCAATGCTTGCATAAAAGACACTACCAAGAGCTGGGCGTGGTGGCACATGCCTGTAATAAGCAACATGGGAGGCTGAGGCAGGAGGACCCAGAGTTCAAAGCCAGCCTCAGCAACTTAGTGAGAAGCTAAGCAACTCAGTGAGACCCTGTATCTAAGTAAATTATTAAAAAAAAAAAAGGGGGGGTGGGTGGGTGGGGATGTGGCTCAGTGAATTCAATACCCTGAATTCAATACCCAATACAAAAAATTAAAATAAGACACTACCAAGGAATTGGGCATGTTGGCGCATGCCTGTAATCCCAGCAATTTGGGGGGCTGAGGCAAGAAGATTGCAAATTCAAGGCCAGCCTCAGCAACTTAGCAAGGCTCTAAGCAACTTAACAAAACCGTGAGTCAAAAAATAAAAAGGGCTAGGAATGTGGCTCACTGGGTAAGCACCCCTGGGTTCAATCACTGGTATATAATAATAATAATAATAATAAAGTAAAATAAAACACCACCATGAGAGTAAAAAGGCAATCTATGGAATGGGAGCAATATTTGCAAATTATCTAATAAGGGGTGAGTGTCCAAATGATTTAAGAACTACAATTCAAAAAAAAAAAAAAAAAAAAAAAACAATTTAAAAAAGGGCAGAGGGCATGAATAGACATTCTCCAAAGATGATATATAAATGGCCAGTAATCACCTGAAAAGGAGCTCAGTATCACTAATCATTAGGGAAATGCTAATTGAAACCACAGGGAGAGACCACTCCCATTAATATGGTTATTGCGTGGCTATACAAATAAACAGACACAGAAAACAGCACATGTTCAGGAGGATATGGAGAAATTGGGACTCTTGTATACTGCTGGTGGAAGGTAAAACAGTGTAGCCAATATGAAAAACAGTATCATAGTTAAAAATTTAAAATAGATTTTCCATATGATCCAGCAATACCATTTTGCATATACATCCAAAAGAATTGAAATCATGGTCTCAAAGACATATTTGCACACCCATGTTCATATCCGAATTATTCACAATGGCTGACAGGTGGAAGCAACCCAAATGTCCATCAGTGCATGAGTGGGTAAACAAAATGTGCTACACATACAAAAGAAGCCTCTGTAGGAAATTTTAACACATTCTTCAACATGGATGAACCCTCGAGATGGACATTCTGCTAAGCAAAAGGAAACTAAGATACTCTAAGAGATTTGATTTTGAAGGATCAACCTCTGTATGATTCTACTCATAGGAGGTATCAAGAGTAGACAAATTCAGAAGGATAGAAAGTATAATAGTGGTTGCCAGGGTCTGAGGAGAGGGAGAAATTGGGAACTAGTGTTTAGTGGGCATAGAGTTTCAGTTTGGGAAGATGCACTTGTTCTGGAGATGGACAGTGGCAACAGGTACACAGCAATGCACATGGACTCGATGGCCCTAAACTGCAGGCTTAAAATGATTAACATGGTAAGTTTTATGTTGGGCGTATTTTACTACCATTTAAAAGAGCTATCATAATCTGATTCCCTCAAAATTAATCCACAAGAATGTAGAATAATTATGCTTCAACTGTTTTATAGTTCTACTTTAGGTATCCCTACTTAATTCTAGGTAATGATTTTTTAAAATTTAGACTTAGGTGCATAAGGGGAAAAGAACCATGTCTTTAATGGTGTGCTAACGTCACATTCACTTACTGAGGAATGTTATTTTCTTTCGTTGCCAAGACAGCAACTGTTGCTGTGGAAACCACACAAAAACAGGGACACTTCACTGAAACAAACTCCACTCACCTGCACAAAGATGCCCTTGCTTCTATACTCCTCATGGAGGCACTGAGAGAAGAAATCTACAAAAGCCTAGGGAGGCGGTGGGAGGGAGAAGAAAACACATTACATCAATCTGCCTCATTTGTAGCCATGGAAACAAAAAGTAATAAACTACTTAACACCATCATTTCTAATCATTCTTTCATTTCAAACACAGGAAAGATGTTTAAAAAAGCCTTCCAAACCTCAAGTGATTTTTATCTGCCACCAAATGAATCCTACAGACCAAAATTTTCATTTAACTGGAAAAAAGCTCTTCTTAGACTGTATTTTTTTTTCAAAAAATTATTTTCTAAGAAAAAATACTTTTATATTATTAAAACAAAGGATGTATTTCTGCTCTCTACTTGTAACATAAGCAGAAACACAATATGAATTCTCTCCTATGGGGGATTCTGTTGTGAAAAGGAGAAGAGCAAGAATCCTCTGGATGCTTCAGGGTGGCAAAATCCAAGAAGCACAGAGATGAAAGCGAGAGTCCATCTTCCGATAAATAATGCAACTTTAAATCTATCCGTTGACTTTAATGGGCCCTTTCTCAAAGGTGAACTCAAGCTGGGATCTGAAATGCAAAGTACCAATACAGACTCCATGAAGGTCTGAATTGCAACAGTCTGCATCCATGGAGAACAGGCAGGAAACTGAAGTTGACTGATCACTTCCAACACATGCCATCATTGTAAACATGTCTATGGTATGTTTCAGAGATACTGAAAGCAAGTCCATTGCAAAGATTGTGGGGTGGTGTCAAGGTTCTTCAAAAGAAAGTAGTGACTGAGGTTTTTCAAGTGAAAAAGGAAGCAAGTGGTTTGCTCTTTTCCTTCACTGGCATGTAGCAAGTTTTTACTATGTATTATAAGTTGCTTATTTCCCCCTAAAAGCTTATTTAACTTCAACATCTAAATAGTCATTTTTCCCTTTGGAAATGTATTCCATGCTCAATAATGTATTGGAACATGATGCTACTGACCTGCGGGCAGAAGAGATGCATTCTATATATTATTATCCTAGCAGTAATGTGAGGTGAATGGAGATGTTGTACGAAATTATGACAAATTACACAAAGTCTGGAAAATTCTTGTTCACACCCCAGAAGTGACACTGTATATCTGTGAATTCTGCATAATGTGACAGAACGTTACACTTTCCCCAGTCTAGGTTGGCATACTGCGTACATTTATGTGCTGACTGGATGCAATTCTTTTATGCTGTGTGAAACTGACTCATTCACATAGCAAACCTCCAATCTCAGACTCATTAGCATCATGTTCTAATTAAGAGAGTAACTGGCCCAGGCCAGCTCTCCATGGAAAGCACAGTATCACTTTTAAAACCAGTAAATAACTGGGAGGAAAACAAGCACCAGCGGCTCTGATGTGCTGTTGTCCCATTTGTAAGTTTACACCTATCAGTATGTCTCCAGCTGTGGCTTCCCCAAAATTCATGGGGGGTATTCCTTTTTCTCTTAATCCACTGGAAAATTGCCAAGAATAGATAATCAAGAAAGTTAAGACTATGTTAATTACTTGGATTAAAAAAATCATTCCTTAGTCTTATAATGACTAAAATTTACTAAAATAAATTCACCTTGGTCGCAGAGTAGATGGCCAATAGTGGAACCGGAAACATGCCACTGGCAGAGGAGATGTTCAGAACTGCACCTTTAGACCTAAAAAGGAAAATGTGCCAAGTCAATGGAATGAATCACATACACAATTGTGTGTGAACTGTAGACTGAGATGTATAATTATTTGAAACAGAACAACATAGCTGCTCTTGTAACACACAGCTCTCCCTGCCTTTCATCAGTGAGTGATATGCTTGGTTAGTGAATGAGGCATAATTCAATCAAACTAAAAATAGCTCTTCTTTATGGTGAGTTCACTTCCCAGTCTTAGTAATCCAGAGCATGACGGGATCAGACCTATTCTCCTTGAGCTGATCTCTTATCTCTGAGGTCTTCTCTGGTCAAAGCATCAACAATGTTCATTTACAGAGCTGAGGGTAAGTAGCTCAGTGATAGAGTGTTTAGCATGCACTGGGCCCTGGGTTTGATCTCCGGAAACACACACACACACACACACACAAACACACACACACACACTCATTTATAGATGCTCCGTACATGCACCTTTATTGTGGAATATCATCCCACACTAGCTTGCTCTAGGATTTAAAGCATTCTATTTGCAAAAATATGTTACCCTTCAACAAAATCATAAACTTCTGGGAACTGAATCCTACTTTTCTTTAAGCACTATGCAAATGCAGAGTATGGAACAAACAGATGCTTAAGAAAATCTCTGACAATGAATGAACAGCTATATCCTGCCCTCATGTTTTCCCTGGTTTGTAGATATTTGGGCACCGAAAAGCTGACTCCAAAACTCTGTGGCTCTAGTTCACTTATGTATTCTTTTGCCAAAAGCCAAAGCTTGATTCCTTTTTTAACTTTTAGAGACTACTTCCAGTTAAAAGTCAGAAAGTTACCTGGATTATCTAATTCTATAAGCAAATGAAAAATAGTTTGAGAAAAGCAATGCTGTGAGCCTACTAGCTGTTAGCAAACACATGCTGGTAGGAAACACGCACGATTATAACTTCAGGAATGTTAGAACTAACGACCAACTCTTCCCCTCATTCTGTTCTTCTGAGGGGTTCTCTTCCTGTGCTGGGAATTGAGCCCAGGGCCCCACATCTGCCAGGCAAGCCTCTTCTACTGAAGGTCCTCTTCTTCAGCTACTGAAATCTGACCCCACCCATGTCCCATCCTCCACAGCAGGTTCCTTTGCTTCAACCCAGTTTTTCATTCTTCTTTGTCTCCATTTATTTTCCCAAAGCCTGTTTTTTAAAAGTATTTTTAAAAAGGGGGACTACCTAGACCCTTTTTAGGCAAAATAAGAGAGGAAACATGATTAAATGGCATCTAAGTTATTTCAGACATAAATCTGAAAAAGAAATAATCCCCAAAGGTCACCCGCTCCATCTGCCAGCCTCTAGGCAAGATGCCACTCCAACCATCAAAGGAAAGTCTGGATCCTCAGTTTCATGTGTCACCGGAAACAAGCTGGTGGTGCTTTGTGTATTTCTGTGGTGTGTGTGTGTGTGTGTGTGAAGTCCTTATTAGTAATACATACGTCTTTAAACAGTAAAATCCATTAACATTTGGTGATAGCAATAAGATTAAGTTTAAAAATGCTATTAAGGGTTTTGAAAAAAGCCATTGATGCATGAATTACATCATTCTTGTATTTTTTTTTTTTCTGTCTCTCAGAAACAGAAGAGCCTTTTCTTTTTTAATTTTAAGGTAACTTTATCAGGAGTTAGAACCCAATCCTCTAAGATTAAAGAAAAAAACTGATTAACAATGAACACCTAGTCATTTCATTTTATCTATATTTGTAAGAAATTCTTTTGATAAAAATGGAATAAAAATCACTTTTGTTACAGGAGACTTTTAATACAATATTAATTTATCTTTAAATTATCTTCATATTTTTAGGATGCTGAAATTAGATCATGGTGATGGTTGCACAGCTCTGTGAATATGCTAAAAACCACTGAACAATGCACTTAAAATAGACAGATTTTTAAGGTATGTAAAATACATCTCAATAAATCTATAAAACGAGAGAAAATACATATTTACGACACATGAGAGTGCATCACCTTTAAGCAGGGTCAGATCCCAATCAAGGGAAAGCTAAGAGTGATTCTGTGGTCTGCACCACGGTGTGCTTTCCAAGAAGTAACCCCAAATCCTGACCAATGAACCCCTGTCCTGTGCTCCAAGAACCCCTGTGAGTTTTTATTTTAACTTTTTTCTCATATAACCAAGAACTGTTATCTCCTCACTCATGCAGAGCAAGTAAAGAGAAGGCAGTTTGAGGAAGATGTAGATCATGTTTTTTCACTGTCTACCTTTGCTGGTTTTTGTTAGCTGAATTCTGTACTCTACTCCACTCACACTAGAGGGGGTGGTTGTGTTTGCCCTTGAACAAAAATCTTACATTTCTTACTTCATTTCTCGCAAAAAAAAAAAATAATAATAATCAATTTAAAAGCCTTTATAGGTATGTTTAACGTTATCAAATACTTCTTAAAAATTAAATCTTGAACTCATTCAACAGGCTCTTAAAAATTTTATTCAAGGAAGCCATGATTCCAACATTAAAGATAATAAAAGCTTCTTTCCCATTTTCAAAAATTATTATCAACAATGCAATAAGTCACAATCATACAGCCATGCTCCTTCACTTGTTTACTCCCTGAGGCAACTAAGATCTTTGTTTCCCAAGTATTCTACCCTGATTTAAAATTCTAGGGGATAAAGTTACTTTCAGCAAAAAGTCAGAATTTTAGGTTACTTTGTATAAAGCATAGTATTTGCATTTTAAAATATGTTCAAACAAATCTAAGACTATTCAGATGCTGCATAAAGTGAGAATGTATCACACCTAAAAAGTACGAGGACGGCATTTACAATTATACCCAAATGACAGCAGAGAAAGCACCCCCTCTACAAATCTGTTCTACCATCAAGAACACGTATTTGTCAAGCAAAAACCTCCCCACACCCACAACAGCATACAATTCTGTCTCAGTCTCACTCTTTTTCCAAGGATAATACTATTCAACTTAGTTTTATCTGTATCACAAATAACACTGGTACTGCTTGTCTCGATTGTCTACTGTATACACTATCCTTTATGTTGAAACGGGCGTGACCCTTTGGGACTGGAAGGCACAAAGGATTCGTCTTTAAAATCAACGACTTTGTCTAGCTCTAATCCTCCATCTAAGCAGAATTAGTGACGTCAAACCAGTTTCCATGGCACAGCCAGACTCATGACAACTCTGTTATATCAAGCAGAAGGACAAAATGGGCTGCGCTTAATTGCACACAGAAACAAACACAAAACCAAACCCTGGTTAATCTCTCATTTTCCAGGGACTTGGGAATAATTCTAAGATTGGAAGGTACATTAAGAATTTTTTGCTGAAGTTCTATAATGAAGACTCACTCATGTTGCTCATACTTCAGCACATTTTCTAGTTTGTTATGACAAACATCTAAATAAACAAGTCAAGAAATATTTTCTGTGGTGCAACATTTTTAATTCATCATACTGCTTACTTGCTAACAGTCACAGTGCTGTCTCAGTGGTGCAAATTACTGAGGATCTACTAGAACTAAAATATTGCAAAAACAAAGCAGAAAATTTCAACTGCTAAAGAAGCGCCTCTCTTCCATTATGAGTCCTCCCACATGCCAAGCAAACTCACCCAACCCTATAACATTTAGAACCCTGCCTTTATAGCTTCCTATAGCTATGCGGTCTACAATTCCCTCAGACCTGTGCAGTTTCCCATAAGGCTCTCTTTAGTAGTCACCTGAATAAAAAAAATTGCCAAGCCTCTGTCCTACAAATGTCCCACCATTCGTAGTATCCTTGCTCTCACCTCTTTAAAAAATACTATTGTCATACAGGAAGCAATAGGTCTCCTTTGAAGTAAGTCACTGATTTCTGCCTTCCTGGGGAAACCTCAGCACTGCCCTACTCTGCAGGTGAAGAGGTGGAGGTGGGGAGGTGTAAATGCTACTGTGAAGAACTGGAACCACAGGGTCACTCACAGTGGGGACAGCTACCTTGTGCAGGGTTTGATGGCAGACCAGAGGGAATATGCAGAAAAGACTCCATCATAGTTATTCACATTCCCACTTCCTATCAGAGAGGACATAAGCATGCTCTTACAGGGTCATTTTATATATATATATATATATATATATATATATATATATATATATATATATATATATATCTTTTTTAAAAAACAAACGTAATGCTGACTTTGGTGTAGAGAGTTCTCAGAGACTCTCAGAAGACAAGAGAAACGTACTGAAATAGAGTTCTATGTCAGAAAAAAATCCTGGAACATAGGGGTCAGGTATATAATTAGAACCAGCAATTCAAATACTTACATTATACAATATTGCTTTGTTGAAGAAAGTTTGCAAACATTTAACACATGAAAGAGAATTACCTGCCCTAAGACACCATAACATGTCATAATTCCACCTTAAGCAATACAATATGAAAGAGGCTATTTTTAGCCTTTCCATGGTTGTTATGGCAACCACCTCCTGGCTCCAGCTGTACACAATGTTTATAATTCCAAGGAAGTAAAAAGACCGAGTTTCCTCTGTAATGCAATTATGTACTTTCTACTTCTATGGTAATAATACCTTAGTTTGATTATAGATACTTGTTTAGTGATAGTCAGTTGGCCTTAGGCTATAGTTCTAGAGGGTTTGGAAAATCTCATACATGAGAGGCAGAATCAATGAAAGGAAAAGGAAAAAAAAAAAAAACACAACAAAGCCTCTTTCTAAAGGATACTGCTGTTACTCAATGGAGATACCAATCCTATGAAACCAACTATAGGAAACGGGCCATTTTGGGGTGGTGTAAAGAGCAGGCTATAATGAAACCACTCATAATGTGTAAGACAGACTGCTTTCAGGTAACCTGTTCACTTGGAGTTTTCTTTTCTTTGGGACACACAACTAACACTTCTGGCCTTCCTTGTAGTTAACTGTAGCCTGTGACCAACTGAGTTCTTGACAATGGAAAATGGGCAGAAGTGATGAATACAACTTCCAGGCTAGCCCATGAAACCCCCCTAAAATCACCCTGGTTCTCCTTCCCTCATGTGCATGCAGAGGAGAACCTAAACAATGATGGAGCCCTTAGCTGGAAGGAGCTTAAGATCCCTGAACGACTAGGGAGAGATGTGAGGGAAAAATAAATCTTTACTGTCTGTTCTGCAGTTAGACTGTCCTGATGAATATACTTAGCAACTCCCTAAACTCAAGTGGACGTAGATGTTGCTTCCCCTAATCAAAAGCTCTGATTCACAGAATCCATGCCCATCTCTCACTAGTCCTCAGCAAGTACCACAATCGCCCCCATGATGTCAGTTTCCATCCACAGTTTCGGATGGCTTTCCACCAGATCACTTCTCAATTCTGGTTTAAAATCAACTTGACTTCTTCAGGGCAAGGATATAAATTATCTTTGGAATGCTCCATAGTAAATTTTACTCAATGGAATGCCTGTTAAACGGATGAGTTCTTTTCTTCACACTTTTTTTTTTTTGTTTGTTTAACCTAGTGTTCTAACTATAACTGACAATGGCTGCTAGGTCTTCCAAGACAGCAGTGAAGTTCGTAGCTCTTCACATTTGTAATCTTTACTCACTTGTCATTTAACTTTATAGCACTCCATTTGTCTGGACATAGGTTTTTTCACCTCTCAAATTGGGGGGTTGCTTTCAATTAACATAAAAGACTAGATTTCTATGACTCTCTATATCCAGTACTTGACGTTTTGTGAAATGATTTCACAACCATTATCCCTTCTGATATGTTTTTCACCAAAATACTCAAAACTTTCTTTTACAATACTTCTGTGGTTTACAAGTTTTTGTTTTATTTATTTTTTTGAGGTGATGGGGATTGAGCCCAGGGCCTCACACATGGGAGGCAAGCATTCTTCCACTGAACTACACCCCCCACCCACCTATTTTTTTAATGGATGGATTTATTGTCTTCAAATAATACCATATCATCTGCAGATGTTAAACCTTAATTAAGATGATGGGCAAAATTTCATTCTTAATGAGTTCTGTTCTGTCTTCCCCAACTCTGCCCTCTTCCAGGGTTCTGCTCTGGTTAGATCACTGCTATTCCCTGTCTGGAGATCAGCAGCACACTCCCGCTGGCAGCCAATGGTAAGTGGCTTGAAAGTTTCAAAGGGAAATTTACAAAAATAAACTACTACAACACACAAAACAGTATATATAAAATGGATTTACAAAGAACTTTGCTGAGCAACAGTTTCTTAATTAGTCTCTGTAGATCCTCATCTCTAAGAGTTACATGAGTTAACACATATTAAATTGTCAATACAACACCTGGCACATAGAGGTCCCCAAGAAACCTAATCCCTGCCAGGAGCTGGTTGTGGAACTCCTCAGCAGAAGTCAGTCCTCGGGTCCTTCCTTTCCAAAGCTGGGATTTCTTTGGCTCTCTTCCAAACTCAGAACAATTTGCAGAGGAAGGATGATTATGAGGCCCTAAATTCAGCAAATGATCAGACTGGTTCAAGGTTTTCTTTGGAGGCCTTGCCATCACTGAGGTTTCTCCAAGGAAGGAATAGAGCTTAAGTATAATTTTATACTTCATGTTACTTCAGCTGTGAAAGCTCTACCACATGGTCTTCCATAAAAATGAAGCCATCCAGCACACCCTAGTGGTTCCCAATTCAAACTGGAACACAGATGAGACCAGTGGACCTGCTGTTCCTCCAGGGGTTGCTGATCTTAGGATCACTTCCTAACATGCCTGAGCTCCTCACACATCCATTCTCCTAGAAAGAAGTGGAGAACCAGAGGCATCTTGCTTCAAGAAACTACTGATGTGGGCTCTCAGAGGAGGCAGCTTTAAGACGGCATTCCCAGGAATATCCCAGAAACCCTTCCCGCCCCCTCAGAATAGCAGGCAATTGAGTTAGTGATGGTGACTCAGGCTGGCTTTTTAATCCTGATCTAAAGGAACCACCACAACCCTGAGAGGGAAATAAAGAGTTGAGTGGAAAAGGCCTCCTCCAGTGACTCACACTCCACCGTGTGACTTGCCTGCCACTAAGACATGGAGGCTGGGCTCATTAGTCACTTTAATGAAATTTTCAAAGAAAGGATTCTCCCTATAAATAATAATGAGCTCCACATCCACAGTGTGTGTGAGAGAGCTTGTGACTCACCTTTCTACCATGCCAGGCAGCACCACTCGTGTCATCTGCAAAAAAGCAAACAAAACATGACGACTGAGGACACAGCAACAGAGTGAAGGACACCCACCCACACAAGAGAAGGGAATCCCAAAGCCACTCAGCATTTAGACAGCAGCTTATTTTATATACTCTATATAATCTGGCTGTGTCAAGAGTGCATAAAGAGGGCAACACATGAAATTACTAGAGGTGACACAGAATACTTTCAGTGAACTTGGCTAAAATTACTTGCCTGAAACACAATACTGGCCCAGGAGCTTCAAATAATACAGGATTTACAGTGAAATTGGTGGTTCCAGAAAATATATTCTCAGAAAAGGACATATATTATCACAAGAAAGATCCTGCCTACCAAGATTACTGAAGCTTTCTAATCTCAAAAGCTCAATCTTTTCTGATTAAAAAAAAAAGCTTTAGCAGACGCTATAAAGTGTCATGTTGGCAAATATTAAGTGTATATTTCACTTAGTAATCATTTATTTTGTTAGTCCTGCTAGTTGTAAAATTCATCCTTACGGAAAGTTAAGGTTATCTGTGGTCTCCAGTGGCCACCAATGAAAAGGTAACATCTGCATTCTTTGAGGACTTCATAACTGTGGCTAAATGCATATAATGATAAGAGGCTACTTTTAAATTCTGTTTTGAGATGTTCTTAACAAGAATAGTTCTGAAGACCAATGGGTTAGCCAAGATGACACCAGGGGTAAGAACTGAGGCTGGAATACAAATTCCTGACCCTGGGAAAGAGTCAAATTCTGGGCTCAGTGAGGTTGTGGCTCAGTGGTAGAGCGCTCGCCTAGCACATGAGAGGCACTGGGTTCATCCTCAGCACCACATTAAATAAATAAATAAACAAACAAATAAATAAATAAATGTGTTGTGTCTCTCTGCAACTTGAGAAAATTTTTTTTTTAAAAAAGAGACAAATTCTGTTTTGTAATAATAAAGTCTGAATGCATGCCAAAGTTTTAAGCTTTCTGTCTTGAATATTACATATTAATTAAAATGTACAGTATTTGGATGGGAAGGGAATCTTTTTGTCTAGAAGCACCCTACAAAAAGAAAGCACCACCCAGACTTTGCCCAGGTAAACTCTGCTTCATGGACATCCAACCCAGATGTCAACCCTAGAGGTGTCACATACTTTTCAGTGAAAATGCATGTTCAATCTGGCACTGTGTTACAAAAGATGAATCATATACTGCCAATTTCAAAACAGAGGTATGTCCTCAAAGCACAAGGGAATCACTTCAACAGAGTGCATCTTTTAGCCCACATGAAAAAGGAGAAACCAAAGAACGAAAAGGCTTAAAACTTTCCTATTGCCCTTCTTACATACACGTCTACATTTTTTATACTAAAATGGCTAAAATGTGAACATGCTAAAAGGACGTAGGCCAGCTAACTTAGAGCTCAAGGTGAGAGCCATGTGCTAACAGTGGCAGAGCAATGAGATAAAGAGAGGCAGGTTTCCTGGTGACTGTGGAGCTACTATGACAAACCTTGATTACCTACCCAGCTTTGCATCGGAGACAGAAATTTCTGTTTTGTTTAAGCCACTACTGTATCTAAACCAATACTCTAATTAATACAGTTGACCATTTGTTTTGATAATGACTGATGAGCGTTCACATTTTAAGACCAAAAAAAAAAAAAAAAACAAACAAAACTGTCCCCAAACCAGCTGTGCTGGCAGCCCAGACTCAACAATTCAGAGTTTTTAAAACAATTCCACCTTTTCTCTTTTCTGGGTTTGCTTGACCCTATTCAAAATGTGCCGACTGGGCTTCAAACCAAACCTTATGGAACCAAGTCAGAGAAAGAGCTGATTTCCCAGCCTATGCTGTCAGCACAGCCAGCTTTTCTCCTCTTGGACTGAGTAAGAGCTCTTCAAATTGTTTACACATTTCCTAAGACTTGTCCTTTCTAGAAGCACATAGTAACTCCTCTGCAGTTACTGAATTGCTACTTAATGCAGGTGTGGTACCTGGTTAGATCACAGTCCTAATCCCAGCCCTTGAACTAACTACTGGTGTGACAGCTGTTCCTTCTCTGCAGTGTCCCAACGCAGTCAATGAAGGAAGTGTCTACACTACAGGTTACTATATTCTGAATCTCAAAAGAGGGAATGTGTATAATGGAATGAGCACAGAGAGAAGCACCTGAAGGGAATTGGTGTCCTTTATTGTCAGCCTGCACTACCCTTTTAGGAAGCAACACCACCAACTACCTGGTCCTACCTTCATACATGGTGCACCCCAGATGGCCCAGAGCCAAAAACAATGGCACATTTTGAGGTTACCCAGTTCAGTTATTCACATAGAAGTTGCTTGCCAATTTTATTAATATTTTAAAATACCTTAGTTGGAATCTTCTTGGGGGTAGTTGAATTATTCTAAGATTAACTCATAATGATGACTGTACAACTCTAAATGTACTAAAAACCACTGAACTACATACACACTTGCACGTTTTATGGTATACAATTTAGCCCTCAATAAAACTGCTTATGAAATACCTCAATAATCATACAGATAAGAATTAAAGAACTGAAATTACATTTGATGTTACTTGCTGGGTTCCGTGGTACATGCCTATAATCCCAGCAATTCAGAAGGCTGAGGCAGAAGGATCACAAGTTCAAAGCCAGCCTCAGCAACTTAATGAGGACCTAAGAAACTTAGTGAGACCCTTTCTCAACATAGACAATAAAAAGGGCTGATAATGTAGCTTTGTGGTTAAGTGCCTCTAGGTTCAAACCCTTGTACCAAAAACCAACCACCACACCAAAAACAACATCAAAAATTTGATGTTACTTTATCAAACCTAGGACGTAAAAAGTCACTCAAAATGTTCTATGCATATCAACTTATAGCCTGGAACAATGGAATAACACCATGTTATAGCCTCTCTCTTTCACAGTTTTCAGGGATTGAACCCAGGGCCTCTCACATTCCAGCCAAGTGCTTTACCACCAAGCCCTAGTCCTGTTATAGTCATTCCTGGGTTCAGCTGAGGTCATATTATCACCCAGAACCACACTCGATGTTGAGGGCTCAGTATCTAATGTGAGAATAGATACATACATAAATCATTACGTGATGATGCTCCGAGTGGATAGGGGCACTGATGCTTAGAAGGACCAGTTATGCCTGGGAAACAGGTAGAGCTTCACAGATTAAAACATAAAGTTCACTAGACAGAAAAGAAATTCCAGTAGAAGGGATAGAGTGTAAAAAGACATACAACTTGTGAGAAAATAAAATATACGTTATAGAATTGATGGATTCTAAAAAGTTATCTACTGGATGAATGAATTAAACAGATAAAGAAATAAAGTATGTACACTTGTTAAATACGTCATGCAACTTACGTTTGCATAAAATATCATGAACAGCTTCTCACACTAGTAAAACAGATGTACATGAGATATGTCAACAGCTGTGGGATATTTTTTGGTAAAGATAGATTATATGCATTCTTAACGGTATCTAAACACTTTTTTCTATTTCGCATATTTCACCAGAGGGCCATAATGCTTAACTAATGTATAAAGAGGGCCCCCAAGTATTTTGTCCTGAGATCACCAGAGACAGAATGGGGAAGAGGAGTGGTAATAAAAAAGTCCTTACCTGGTGTGTGTGTGTACAAGTTCATTGGTATTAAGGAAACAAGACTTGTAAGTTGCTAAATAAAGTCTGGAAGGGGTAGATAGTGCCTATTTAGCTTTCCCATACAAAAGAGAAGAGAAGAAAAGAGATTTACAGGCCAGCAATCAATCTGGAGAATGACCAGGAAAGTCTACAAGATCTGCTAATGGATTTTGGCCAGAAATCCTTATACTATATGAATACTACTAAGTAGTCACAAAGTTTTGAAGTTCAACTCAGTTTTCTTCCTAGATACAAATTTATACATTTAAGAACAATAAAACCTTTAGTTGGAATATTGGGGAAATACAAATACATATATCAGGAACTATTTTTTCCCTTATACCATGTGCATGCCATATTAAATGACTCATTCCTGAATGGCAAAAATTGTCCAGAAAATGATCAGAGACAAAATGAATCCCTATAAGATATAATCATGCTAAGCACAGTGGCACAAATCTGTAATCCCAGCAACTCAGGGAAGGAGGATTGCAAGTTCAAGGCCAGCCTCAGAAACTTAGCAAGGCCCAAAGCTACTTAGTGAGACCCTGACTCAAAATAAAAATAAAAAACAAAAAAAGGGCCAGGGATGTAGCTCAGTGGTAAAGCGACCAGTGTTCAATCCCTAGTACAAAAAACAACAATAACAACAACAAAAATCTTGCTTATAAAATTATAAGTAGCACGCTAAACATTAAATGCTTTCTTGATGGTTTATGTGTATGCACATGATAAAATATATATTTTATACATATGAATTAGAACTCAAGAAGTTTTAATAGCGCAAGTTAGGAAGAAATAATGCTTTTGATGCTCAGATATTAAAGACCCAGAAATAGGAGCTGGGCTGTAGCTCAGTGGCACAGTGCTTGCCTAGCATTTGTGAGGCACTGGGTTCCATCCTTAGCATCACATACGTAAATATAAACAAATACAACAAAGCACCAGAAATACTTGTTGAATGCTTACTGGCCAAATGATTCATCATCAAAGACACACGTTCTCTTACAGAGAAGTTAAATTCTTCCTTATAGCTCATTAGCTTCCCTTTTTAAATTCTAAGTTCTTTCTCCTTGCAGGAAAATGGAACACTGTTTCCTTACCTGTCAAATAATAACATTGAAAAGACTGAAAAAAGTTAACTTGAAATCTGTATGCTTCATAAAACTAATGCCTTCATCTATTCTAAAACTATTTTTCTTTCTTTCTAATCAGATTGTCTTAATACATTCAATTTTAAGCCTTCTTTGATTGGGTATTTGTACACAAATCCTTCTTAATAGTCTATGCATAAGTGGAGATTTCTTTCACTATGTTCACATTAAATAAAAATTCTCTTTAACATAGAGTTT